CTCAATAACACTTGAGGAAAAAAAACAAATAAAAAGAAATAAAACAGAATTCTGAAATTTTAATTCAGTAAAAGTAGCAATATTTCATACTCATGTTACTCAATTAAAAGTAAAAACTATCGCATAAAAAAACTACTCCTAAAAGTTTTTTTTATTTGTTTGTGTATTCGTTTGTTTCAAAAAGTTAGTCAAGTAAATATAACTACTTACCTCTGGTCACATATAGCTTTAACAAATTGTTAAATAAATGTAACATTGCCTGGTTGTTGTAAGTTAGGCCCTGTTTACATGGCAATAATCCAACGAAAATGGAATTTTTGTTTCATTCTATTACATTTACATGAAGCCATTCTAATTACAATCTTTGTTTACACAGTAAACGGTACACATCGAAAACGTGTAATGCTCTCGTCACGCCACTAGTTGGTGCTAGGTTCTTTGAAAACTAAGTGCGCATGTGTTAAAAAACAAAAGTTTTACTTGAAAGCACATCGATTCGCATTTCCCCATCAGATACCGTTCCCCCAGATACCGGGAGAAAAACACGCACTATGTGCGTCAGATGAGGGTGCGGTTGAAAAACCGCACCTAATCAGGTGCTGATTTGCGGTTGGAATCAGGTGCAATCAGGTGCACCGGTTGGAATCAGCAACAACGCTTTGCTGAAACACGTTGTTTGAGCTTTTACGGTGTCCGTAGTTCTCTAGATAAGAGTGCGGAACAAACACGTGTATTTTGCAACCTGGGTTTGGAGCGGCGAAGAGACGCTGAGGGAACCGTATCTGATGAGGAAACGCGAACTGTAACAACACCATGTCAGTAGTTTCTTCTTCTTCTTCTATGTTTTTGCGTCATACTCTGCAGGAGCTAGGGATTCCCAGGGAGAAAAGATCCATTTTGTTGACATAGAATTTTAAGTTAGCACAATACTGCACAGGATAGCTTTGACACATATAAAATATAACATAGAAAGTTAAAGTACACTCTAGGTTCATATAAATTTAGATGAAACTAAAAACAACGGCTCAATCTCTGAAACGCAGATAAATTCTTAAAAGGAGGATCAGAAAGAAGAAACAGAAAACATAGGCCTAGACTCCTTGGATCTCTTGAGATAAGGAGCCTATATGCCAGGCAATTAACAAATTCCTGAGCATGGTTCAAAAGTTCACTAGGATCTTAAAACTTTTTATAAATAATTTTATCTATATTAGAATTAACTATATTTCTTTAAGCATGTTTTTAAATAGTTACTTATTAGATCCAAACTTATAGTCATTATTTAGCATTACATTGTGTGCAAGCTTGGTTAAAAATACAAACTACTTCTTGTGAAAACAGTTTGAGGCAGAGATAGCGCTGCAGCTGCAATCATATATCAAACTGGACAGCGGCTGGTACGAGAAGGGTTTGCCGTATATCTGCTTTTGGGGCTCTTTAGCAGGAGGTAATAAAATTAACATTGAGACAGCCCACACAAAGGAAAAGAACACACCTCCTAATACATACATTTAAATGAGGAGAATATGCATTCTATAAAATGATTTGGTTTACAGCAGAAGTTGGAATCTCTTTGTGCTGGGTGAGAGTTTTCCCGGAGGATGCATCTTCTGTTAATCTGTTGTCTTTTTTACTCAGTTCTTTGTCTCTGTTTTGTAATATCTTGGACTTTTGCTCTAGGTGAGAGGCTTATTGTAAAGTTCTTCTTGGATTGATTTTCTCTGGATAAAACTCTGAATATCTGAAGTCTGACGTCGTACGATTGCTCTTTTCTCTCTGCACACTTACACAGACACAGGAATTCGGGACTAAGAATTAATTAAAGAGCTAAATCAAGTTCTTCATTCTTTTTAATTCTTAACAATTTCCTCTGTTTACAAGACAACGGACACCTGTACGTGTCAGAACCATAGCACTATGGAACCCGTTTTCAATCTGGGCAATTTTCTGAGAAAACATTCGGTGGGTTCATGTAAATGTACTGTAAACGCAACAAAACGTCCATGCTCACCAGAAATTGTTGTGTAAACAGGGCCTTTTATCTGCAACGTTTGTGTTATTGTAAACAACAAGAGAATCGCTCTTTTCTCACGTAAGTCTGGCAGAAATAAAAGTCAGTCACCAAACACAGTTTTCCCAACACGTAGTGTGTATGTAAAGGTTTTTGTGAATTTGGAAACAGTTGTTCTTTATTCCCCAAGGTTATGGAGTAAAGAGAGGAAATAATGGATGATTCAGCAGCCTGAAATATTCTGTTCCCCCTCCATAAAATGGGAACAAATTATTTTACCTGCAAATGCTTAACTTTGCTTATTCCTCTCATCATCAACAATAAATCCCGTGAATTTGGTAGAATTTGTTCTTTGCTAGCCAGAGTTATGGGGGGGTAACCATATATTTCAGCTGGCTAAAATATTCCGTTCCCCCTCCATAAAATGGGAACAAATTATTTTACCTGCAAATGCTTAACTGTGCTTATTCCTCTCATCATCAACAATAAATCCTGTGAATTTGGTATCATTTGGTCTTATTTTGCCAGAGTTATGAGGGGGAACCATATATTTTAGCTGGCTAAAATATTCCGTTCCCCCTTCATAAAATGGGAACAAATTATTTTACCTGCAAATGCTTAACTGTGCTTATTCCTCTCATCATCAACAATAAATACTGTGAATTTGGTATCATTTGCTCTTATTTTGCCAGAGTTATGAGGGGGGAACCATATATTTCAGCTGGCTAAAATATTCCGTTCCCCCTTCATAAAATGGGAACAAATTATTTTACCTGCAAATGCTTAACTGTGCTTATTCCTCTCATCATCAACAATAAATCCTGTGAATTTGGTAGAATTTGCTCCTTGTTAGCCAGAGTTATGAGGGGGGGAACCGTCTTCCTCTGCTCTGCCATTGACTCCTGTCCAGTCCAGAAAAAAACTCAAGCTGAGAAATGTAAATTTGATTTCCAATTCTTATAAATATATATCAATGCACATGCATTTCAGTTTTTATTATCATACATATATGTCTCACAAAGACTTTATGTCTTTGTACTGATATGCTTTCATCTTATTTTAATAAAAGGAATAATTTCAGTATATTATTAAAACAAAATGATACTGAAATTATTCCTTTTATTAAAATAAGAGGAAGACTGTGATGAGCAGGAGGTGGGGATGGAGTCGGTGGAGGGACTGGAGCAGGGGGAGGTGCTGCAGCAGGTGGAGATGGTGATGGAGCAAATAGTGATGAAATGTTTTCAAACTTGCTGTTTGCCAACAGCCAGTTTGCTGTTGATGATTACTGTTGATAAATACATTTGTTTCCATGTTTTTGAGGGGGAAAGGATAATTTCAGTCAGGTAAAACAGCTAAAATATTTGGTTCCCCCCATAATTCTGGCAAAGTAGGAGCAAATGCTACCAAATTCACAGGATTTATTGTTGATGATGAGAGGAATAAGCACAGTTAAGCATTTGCAGGTAAATAATTTGTTCCCATTTTATGAAGGGGGAACGGAATATTTTAGCCAGCTGAAATATATGGTTACCCCCTCATAACTCTGGCTAGCAAAGAACAAATTCTACCAAATTCACAAGATTTATTGTTGATGATGAGAAGAATAAGCAGAGAAAAAATCTTGCTGGTAAGTGCAGTTGTTCCCATTTTATGGAGGGGGAACGGAATATTTTAGCCAGCTGAAATATATGGTTCCCCCCTCATAACTCTGGCTAACAAGGAGCAAATTCTACCAAATTCACAGGATTTATTGTTGATGATGAGAGGAATAAGCAAAGTTAAGCATTTGCAGGTAAAATAATTTGTTCCCATTTTATGGAGGGGGAACAGAATATTTCAGGCTGCTGAATCATCCATTATTTCCTCTCTTTACTCCATAACCTTGGGGAATAAAGAACAACTGTTTCTAAATTCACAAAAACCTTTACATACACACTACGTGTTGGGAAAACTGTGTTTGGAGACTGACTTTTATTTCTGCCAGGCTTACGTGAGAAAAGAGCGATTCTCTTGGTGTTTAAAATAACACAAAACAGCGTCAGAAGACCTCGTTTATTTATTTATTTTACAATTTTTTTTAAACAACAGCTGCAAATTAAACTAAGTGTTACAACATTGATGTGGTTGTATTAGTTGGTTTTACCGAGAAATCGATCAGAAGCGACGTGAAAATGATCAGATCCGCCTCTTTCGCCTCTCTGGCTGTAATGCGCGCTCCCGACGCAGGGGGAACAGATTTTCACAGGGGAACCGAATTTCGCACAAGACCGGTCTCCTTTGAGATCCAGTCTTGAACGCTCCCTTTTGCGTTGGTCGCTTCTGACATCGCAAAATTGTGAACACACTTCAAAAAAAGTTAAAGCACCTACCTGGCTTGTTGCTGGGGAACTTAACAAGTCTTTAAAATTCTAGTGTTATTATTATTCAAACATCTCAAATTCTGTCCAAAACAAAATGTGATTTATTTGATATTAATCTGTAAAATTCTATTATAATTCAAACACCTCAAATTCGGTATAAAACTAAATATGATTTATTTCAGCGTAAACACTGTTTGTAAAAATAGACACATTTATTTATATTTAAAATGATGAATATTTGTAATCATTTAAATGGATGGATTGACAATTAGGCAGCTGTGAATGCGGGAAGGGACATGTATTCTGGCTTGAAGTTGTCCGACGTTAGTATATCCCACTGATATCGCAATATACTGAAAAGTGCTGTGAATGTATGACCTCTGGATATATTCTCTGACATGTCTAAGTAACTTCTGTTCTCCAGTCTCAGTTCGGGGATTCATATCTTAAAAAACACACACAAAAAAAATTACTAAATAAAGATTATTTTATGAAATAAATGTGTGCTTGGTTTTCTACATTATTCTTAACATGTATATATGCAATGAAAATAAATTTTACTCATAAGTTCAATTTATGATTTTTAAAAATTTAATATCAAGTTTCATCTGAGTCTGAGAATTACATGGTCGACATATTTGTTTTCTTTATTCGACATTGAGTTTTCCACAAAAATACAGGCTACAGGAAGATCTAATAAACCATGAGTTTGGTAATGATTGATTAAAGTGGCTCAACGTCGCCTTTTTGTTGGCGTCTTGGATGCAAGTGATTGTCCTTTTCTCTTTTTTGCTCCAGAAGTCTTGGATTTTGATGGCTTGGTCATATTTTCTGATCCTGTTGGTTGAAATAACAAAGACTGAATTTCACAGTTAATCAGATATAAAAATGGCAAAGTGATGCATTCATGATACCTGGGAAAAGTTTAATCCTCAACAAACCATAAACTTTAATATCTTCAATGTGCTTTTCAGTGCATGTTTTGTAAAGTAAAAGGAAGATAAGATAGTTTTTGCAAGTATAGATGTGAGTTTTGTGTATTGTGCGTATGTACTCATTAACAATGCCTAAATCCAGTACAACCAATTGATTTCAGTGTAGACCCACTGTATATATTTTAAGCATCAATTAGATTAACTTGAAGTCAGAATGACATTAAGATTTTGAGGTAAATGGAGGATAATCCTGACCAAAAAAAAAAAAATTCTAAAAAACTACAAACTGGGCAGGAGTTTCACCTTTCACCAGGGGAACCCTAACTATACAGCCAGAGCTGCAATGGAAACGTTTATATCAGGGTGGGAGAAAATTCAAATAATTTAAAATTTGAGTTGAACAGTTATCCAGATAGATAATATAAGATGAACTCATCTAACGTCTATAAGTTTGTTGTCAACAAATAAATGGTACCTTTCTTTGGGCTTTTTCCTTTAGGGGATCTTTTTCTTGTTCGCGGTAAAGCCTTCTTCTTTGGTTTTACTGCTTTTTGGACAGTCTCCAGCTCCACCTCCACAGGATAATGATCACTGATGTTTCCAGCCTTGGAGAGTGAAAACATAAAATTATAAATCTTTGCACCTATTATGTGCTCTAAAATGTCTGAAAGTGTCAACCATTTCTCTGTGATGCAGTATTGCTAAACAATGATGACAATAAAGCATACGTTTTCGTCTGTTAGCCCAAACTCCACTTGAAAGTTGAAAGACTTTGCAGAGTCAGGAACAATGGCACCCAGCATTTCTTCCCCATACACCACAATCCTATTTGAAGAAGATAGTATCACAAAGCAGTTTATTGGTGCGGTTTTCAACATATCTCCAAATACATCTACACATTTACATTTACTTATAAAATTATTAGATAGAACTTTTAGCAACAGTAGACATGTTTTGCAGTTCATGATTTTTTAGAGGGAATAAAATTCAACAATACAGACTCAGTCAGGTGAAGAAAGTATGCTATTTTTAAGATCTAACTGAGGCAGGGCACAATCCTAGAGGTCACCAGGGTCTGATACTAAATAATGAGGGGATCTATAACAAAAATGACAAGATAAAAAAAATCTATAAAAATCAAGGTAATTCATGGGAGGTAATTTACTGTAACCTACCTGTAAACCTCAACAAGCTTAGACAAATTTTGAAATGAGAATATTGAAACATCCTTCTCTAGCAAGATGATGATTTCAATTTATTTCAAGGAATTAAATATAAGGAATTTATTGTTATACAAAGTGTGATAAAAATGTGCACAGTGTGTATTCATGACACACAGATGTGATGTAAACTCGTTATCTAATTCCAAGACAAAGTCATTTTTATTTTGTCCTGATTCAGGACAAAATAAAAGTAGCAATTTGTTGTTTTATTAATATTGTAGAAACAAAGATAGGTGTCCTTGGCACCTAACATGTATCTTTACCCGTCGTAGGTGTTGTCATTATAATTACTAGTCGTGGTGTCAACATCGTCATCTATCAACCAGTAGAAGGGATCAGAAGAGATGCGGATTGATTCCTTTTTCTTCTTGGAAAGATATCGACCATCTGCGTTGAAGTCCCCCAATATCATGATATTCTGCCAAGGACAAAAATAAAAGTCAAAACCACACATTACTGTACACAAGTATTTAAAGTAGTGATGATTGTTAGTGTTTGTAAGCAAAACAGCAATTTTACATTTTATCCTCCTCCCCCAAGATTTCTTTCATTAGTAGACTTCTCAGTTTAGTGTTAAAAGACATTAAAAAAAGATCCCACTGACCTCTTACTGTTTGTAATAACAGAAAAAGTCCATAATAAATGGGAGAAAACCATGGCGTTATTCAATGAGTGATTTATCAAGCACATTATCCAGCATCTCACTCACATTTTTAACAAGACAGTGACCCTTGGAGTTTGAAAACTCTCTCCTCTGAGTTACAGTGGAGAGACGGCTGAAATGATTAACTTTTGGCTGAATTTTAGCAAAGCTATTAATAAAAACTCTAATATTATCCTACAATTTTCAAGTTGCATATCTTTATATAGATGTAACAACTTACATTTGTTTTCCACTTCTGTCTGACAGCATTGACCACAACGTAAAGCTCATCAAGTTCCTTTACTGAGTCTTCTGGCTTGGTGTGGACCGGAATCAGGACCAGGTCTTTTACAACTGAAAGTGGACATGAAAGCAAATAACATAGACCCAGATCCACAGTGCACCTAAATAGATGTGAGCTCAAATAAATATTTAGGTTTAAAATAAGTAGAGGCCTCAGTTTAGTGTTTTCACATGTCATGTCAAAATGTCTCCTATTTCACATGATCTCAGTCCTTTTAAGCCCCAAATAAAACACAACATTTGACCATACATTCATAGCCGATATGTTTATAACAGTTATCCATAAGGTATTTACTCTGTACAAACTGCAACACATACCACATTGGATGGACGGATGGATTATAATTGTATGCAGTAATATAGGAATCAAAGTATGTGCATAAAAGTAGCTTTCATTTTCAAACTTATACACATTTGGAAAATATTTAGTCAAATTTCATATGTTTCCAAACTGTGTAGAAACCCTGTCATATCACTGTAAAAACTGACATATGGTAGTATTTAGTAATGATAATCTGCTCTCTCTGGTGCAGCACAGGACCATATATATTCATTACTGTATGACTTTCTGAAGTGCTCATTACAAGAACATTTTTCATGACTCACCATTAGATTTGAATGAAACAAATGTTACAGGCTTATAAAGATAAACCACAGTGGTTTGACTGCAGTGAAACCATGATCTTGATGATTTAAAAGAATTTAGCTGAGAATATGTTGTAATTTTATAACCTAACCTTTTATAACCTAACTTAAGTAAAACTATAATATTGTATTTTTAGTGTAGGGAGAGTAAGAGTAAGGGTTTCATCGTGACTTTTACAACTTATCTATCATAGAATGAGTCAAATGAATCTGTCATAAAGAAAGGTAGGATATGAAGACTGGCAAAAAGAGCCGTCATCATATCCTTGCAAATTGTCTGATGAACTGTTTTGTGCACTGTGAGCTGGCGTTTCATTAATGTGGAACAGCACACACCTGTGGAGGGACAGCAGAAGCGCAGGATGAAGGGCTCTCTTGCGAAGGCATCTTCATCTCCAACCTGATTGTCTTCATACTGATACTGAGCTGTAAGCTTGACATCATCTTCTCTGAAACACAAACAATAATAATAAAGTTTGTTTACTGTATTATTAATACGATTTTAAACCTTCTTGAGTGCATGAGAAGTCAAATTTCTGGAGGGATTTGTAGAGTTTTACTTCTCAGAATGCATCAGAAACTTCATAAAATTGTACTAATTATTTAAAGCATTGATTTAGCAGGGTGTCAGAAACATCTCTCAAACATTTTGGTCAAGATTAGTCAGATGTACATCCAAGATGAGGACCCCAGAATTCACAACATTCTCAAGGTGTTTTAGTAGATTGAGGCCTGCTCACTGTGGATCCCATTGGAGTTTAATGTCGGTGGTATTTTCAAAAAATCAGTTTGAGTTGACCTAACCTAAGTGGCATCACACATTTAATGACCAGAAGATTGAAAACTGGTCATTAAAGGATGGACATGGTCAGCAAAGTTGGAGGATAACACTCGGTTTATAATATGTCACTACGGTGTAACCCACATAAAGTGGGGATAGCCTTTTGGGAAATAGAGATTGGGTAGGCGGAGTAGTCTGCCTGGCCAATGAGAAGTTTGATTCCCATGAATGTTTAGACCAATCAGAGAGCGGAATGCCACAGAGGCTCCACCTTCTTTCCCGTGTTGGCAGCGTTGATTGTGAGCGGGAGATCTGACGCTGATCAGACAGCTGAGCCAGAGTGAGAGTCTTTTGGTTTCTTTCTAATATCATTTATTGACTTTGAAGGATTTTTTTTTTTGTTGTAAATAGTTTATTGTTTAAATCCAACTTATAATTTAGAAAGAGTGATAAGTTTCAGAAAACTGAACTTCAGTTTTTCTGCTGTTAGAACCACTAAGATCAGTTGGAACTTTTGCACTTTCTGGCAGTTGATTGGCAGTTGTTTTCAGTTCAACTGAAGGTACAGCCTATATAATAATGTATTTTTATTTTACTTAATTCATTTTCTTTAAGTTAAAACTTAAAAAATATGCATTTTACACTGTCTAGTGCCCTCCGTGTCTGGAATGAGAGTCCCTGTCTAGTTGTTTTGAACGTGCCGCACTGAGATCGGTGAGCATATTTTGTACCTTTCATTTGGTTTTTGTTCTTTTATCTTGTTGTCAAATAATGATCTTTATTTGACCTACTTAGTTATTAAAACGTGAACCTTTGCTGAGTTTGTGTAAAATGTAATGTTTTATTATTGTTCTTGGAAAAGGATTTTTCGAACAGTTATGAAACATAATAAGCTAGAATGGTTTAATAATAATTCTATGTTTCTGCTGGTCTTGTCTGTTGACAGATCAGGGTTTTTTTTTTTTGTTGTGTTGTTTTTGTTTTTTTGCTTTTTCTTCTCTTCTCCTGGATTGTTCCTGGAGTGGATTCCCCTACTGACTTTGATGGTGAGCCTTCCCACCTGGACTTAGAAAGATCTGGATTTCCTCCCATGATGAGAGCCTTCCCACCTGGACTTAGAAAGATCTGGATTTCCTCCCATGTTGAGTGAGACCTGAACCAGGATTTAATTTGATTCATTTGTCATCTAAAAGAGATTAGAACGCAAACTACCATGGTGCACCCAATAGATTTAAAATTGAGATTTAGTATTTGGCCAAGTATTGTTGTTTATATTTTATGTATTTTATTGTGTAAAATTTTATTTTCTTAATTGTGTGTCTTGTCCAATTGTGAGTTTTATGGTTTGTTACTAAAGGCAATTGTTTTTTAAATTGATTCCAATGTGTTTGTGTGTCATTTAAACACCCATCATGCTCCGACAGCCGAACCTATTGGCCCATCAAAAACATATTGAACCCTTCTCTACTGTGTTACAGGAGAAGCTTTGGCGAGCCAGCAGGGCACGAGTGTGTGTTTAATTGTCAGACATCTTTCACGTATTGTTAGAGCTTGCTAAGTATTTCTCAAAAAAAAAAAAAATGGATGTGGTACTCCGGGAGTCCATCCAAATTCCCCATTCTTTGGTTGTTAGTGGCTTGACAGGGTCAGAAATAGATGAGGAAGTATCAATATTTCTCCAGAAGTATGGTTCCATTAACCGTTACATTCACTTAGATGATCCAGAGTCCTACCCCACAAAAGACTCGACCAGCAAAAGAAATATCCCATCTTCTGAAAACCCTCAGTCAGTGACGGCTACAGATTCCCCGATTTTGACACCAGCAAATAATCTAAGTAAGCCTCTCAACCCTTCCATTTTCAGTAAAAACCTGATTGATCTCAACCCCCACAGACTTTGTCATTCTCATCTGAATCCACTACTACGCCAGTAATCGATGTTAATCCACATGCAGTTCAGCGAGTGGTGGTTGAGCATGTGGTGCGCAACAGTGATACCTCATCCCAATTTGCTTCACCCAGTAGACTCAGAGCTTTTTCAGGCAAGAGTCCACGTCCAAACCATGAAGCAGATTATGATACATGGCGTGCAAGTGTTGAAATTCTTATCAGAGATCCATCTGTGTCAGACTTGCATTGCACACATCGTATATTAGACAGTCTTCTTCCTCCTGCTTCTGAAATGATTAAACATTTGAGCCCACAATCTAGTCCCTCAACTTATCTCAAGTTGCTTGACTCCGCCTACGGGACGGTTGAAGATTTAGCAGGGTGTCAGAAACATCTCTCAAACATTTTGGTCAAGATTAGTCAGATGTACATCCAAGATGAGGACCCCAGAATTCACAACATTCTCAAGGTGTTTTAGTAGATTGAGGCCTGCTCACTGTGGATCCCATTGGAGTTTAATGTCGGTGGTATTTTCAAAAAATCAGTTTGAGTTGACCTAACCTAAGTGGGTCAACTCACTTAGGTGAGTTGACCCACTTAGGTGACGAGCTTTATGCTAGGTTCATGAGCACATTCCAGAATGACGGAGAGTTACCTTCTGTTTTCCTGCAGAGACTGCACACAGCCTTAAGCAAAACAATGAAACGTGGTGGTGTATCCGCTCCAGAGTTTGATCAACAGCTTTTAAAGCAGTTCTGTAGAGGCTGTTGGGAGAACGCTTTAATAGCCGATCTTCAGTTAGAACAAAAGAAAGATAAACCTCCTACTTTTGCAGAATTGTTGCTCCTTCTTAGGACAAAAGAAGATAAACAGGCTGCAAAAATGACTCGATTGCGACAGCATTTCAACCATGCCAAGTCTGGCCACATCCACAGCAAGCAGCGTGCCATGTCACAAGTTCATCTTGCATATGACAAAAATGATTTGATAAATAAGACTGATCTTGAGATGCTCAAGCAACAAATTGATGACCTCAGCCTTCAGGTGAAGAGCATTGTGTCAGAGAGTCAAAAGTCAAAACAACTTAAGCAACAAAAGTCTGTTCCTCTAAGTGTCACACATGAAGCCCATGTGGTGAAACCAAAAACAAGCCGTCAGCATCCTTCCACAATTAAAGCAAATGGCAGACCACGTCCCTGGTACTGTTTCCAGTGTGGAGAGGATGGCCATGTTGTTTCAGTCTGTGAAAATGCACCAATCCTTCCCTTGTAGCAGCTAAGAAAAAACAGCTGAAAGAAAAGCAGGCTGCTTGGGAAGCCTCTAATGCTTCTCAAAGTGAGACACATTTAAACTAGTGTCTGCTCCCAAAGAGGGACACATGGGAGCAGAGATACAAAATTCCAGTCCCAAAACCATGAAAGCTGTTGTTAAGAGTGTTGGGGTAGAAAGGTTGAAATTGCCACATGGCCTGGTGGGAACTAAAACTACAGCTCAAGTGTCTATTGCAGGGAAAGACACAAACTGTCTGTTGGACACAGGTTCGCAAGTCACAACTGTGCCCCAGTCCTTTTATGAAGAACACCTTTCTGATCTGACCATTCATTCTTTAAATGATTTGCTTGAAGTGGAGAGTGCTAATGGCCAGTTTGTTCCCTATTTAGGATATGTTGAGCTTACCATCACTTTTCCTAAAGAGTTTGTTGGCTCTGATATTGAGAGCGTAGGCATCTTTGATGGTCTGCATATTCAGCTTTCTGTAATCTACACACAGACGAACAGAACCATTCTTTTTGCGAACCACAACAATTGGAGAAGCAAATGGAGACTCAGATTCCCGTATGACTCCAGAATCTAGGAGTTCCTGTATATGTTGTCTCACAGCATCTACATCGTTGGGCACCTGTTCATGGGCTCTGCAGCCCATGAACAGGTGCTTATAGGCACAAACGCACTTGACGTTCTTTATGCGGATTACCAGAAACTTTCATCTTTTCAGCCTTTGATGAATGGCTATCAGGCTGTTCTCAAAATACTTGAGATACGACAAAGGGAGCTTATCCACAGCAGCCTTGGTTGTGCAGAACTAACAGGCAAGCTGCCTAAAGTTGTTCCTGCAAGGCAGACCACTGTTGTTGAAGCTTTTGTTCCATTTAATCGTTTGAACATTCAGAGAGATGTTATTCTTGAGCAACCATCAGCTTCTTCTCTACCGAATGGTTTACTCGTTTCAGCGATTGCAGTAACTTTACCAAGCAAACACTCATGTCATATTCCTGTCGTACTGAGAAATGACACCAATCATGACATAGTCATTCCCCCAAAACCATTGTGGCAGATGTTAATGCTATAGTACAGGTGTTGCACAAAGAACATACTGTCAACGACTCAAACTGTCCTAAATTTCAAGCAAAGTCTTCCCCATCACTGAACTTTGATTTTGGAGATTCACCTTTATCCACTGAATGGAAAGAGCGAATAACAAAAATGTTAAACACCATGCCAAACGTTTTCTCTCAGAATGACCTGGATTTTGGCCATACTGATAAAGTGAAACACAGAATCAAGCTCAGTGATGAGACGCCTTTTAAGCAGAGAGCACGTCCGATACACCCCAACGATGTAGATGCTGTGAGACAACATATACAGGAACTCCTAGATTCTGGAGTCATACAGGAATCTGAGTCTCCATTTGCTTCTCCAATTGTTGTGGTTCGCAAAAAGAATGGTTCTGTTCGTCTGTGTGTAGATTACAGAAAGCTGAATATGCAGACCATCAAAGATGCCTACGCTCTTCCAAAACTGGAAGATGCTTTCACTGCACTTGCTGGTTCTAAGTGGTTCTCCGTTCTAGACCTCAAGTCAGGCTACTATCAGGTCGAAATGCAAGAAGCAGACAAGCATAAGACTGCATTTGTGTGTCCAGTTGGATTCTGGGAATTCAACAGGATGCCACAAGGAATAACAAATGCGCCTTCAACCTTCCAAAGACTGATGGAAAATGTGTTGGCGATATGAACCTAAAAGAAGTTTTAGTGTTCATTGATGACTTGATTATTTTCTCAGCCTCCCTGGAAGAACATGAACAGCGCTTGCAGCGTGTTCTTGAACGATTGATGACATATGGTTTGAAACTGGCACCAGAGAAGTGCAAATTTTTTCAAACGTCAGTAAAATACCTTGGTCACATTGTTTCTGAGAAAGGAGTTGAAACAGACCCTGAAAAAGTTTCGGCCTTACAGACTTGGCCGATCCCCACAAATCTTAAACAGCTTCAATCTTTCTTAGGATTTGCTGGATACTACCGACGGTTCATTCAGGGGTACTCTACTATTGTAAAGCCACTTAATGAACTAACGTCTGGTTATCCACCACTCAGAAAGCTAAATAAGAGACAGAAAATAAATTCGAGCTCAGAGTATCGCAACCCAAAGGAGCCCTTTGGTGAGCGGTGGACACCTCAATGTCAGAAAGCTTTCGATGACATAATAAGTAAGCTAACATCAGCTCCAGTCTTGGGTTTTGTAGACCCCCAGCTTCTGTATGTCTTACATACAGATGCCAGCACTGTTGGCCTTGGGGCTGCATTATATCAGGTTCAAGATGGTCAATCTCGAGTCATAGCTTTTGCGAGTCGAGGACTTTTAAAGAGCGAGAGGAAGTACCCGGCTCATAAGCTTGAATTTTTGGCTCTTAAATGGGCAGTCACAGAAAAATTATCTGATTACCTATATGGTACAGACTTCACAGTAGTGACGGACAGCAACCCACTTACATATATTTTAACATCTGCAAAGCTGGATGCGACAGGGTACAGGTGGTTGTCCAGTCTTTCTACTTACTCATTCAGTCTTCAGTACAGGGCGGGAAAGCAAAATCTTGATGCTGATGCACTGTCTCGCCGACCTCATGATCCACCAAAGGATGATTATGCATCAAAGAAGGAAAGTGAGAGAATCCGGCAGTTCACATTGTACCATCTGAGCAATCCTGACAGTCCAGAGACTGTTCCCCAGGAGGTGATTAAGGCTATTTGTGAACGTCATATGGTCACTTCATCTGTAGCTGGTGTTCAAGCCGCCACTCCTGGGTTGACATTAGTTGAATCTCTCACTCACCAGTCCAAGTGGATGGGTCCCCTCTTGTTTTTATTCATTTTCAGAAGAAGAGTTGAGGGAAAAACAAACATTAGATCCTGCTATCAATGCAGTCATTGTACTCTTGGAAACTGGTGAAACTCCATGTCCCGGCCTCAGGTTAGAGCTACCAGAATTACCTTTGTTACTCAGACAGTTGTCTCGGTTGGAGATGCAGAATGGAGTGCTCTATCGAAAGCGACAAGATGGTCCAAACATCTCATATCAGCTTGTACTTCCTGAGGAGCTAAGAGCTACAGCACTCCTGAGTCTTCATCATGATATGGGCCACCTTGGAGTTGAACGAACAGTAGATTTGGCAAGAACTAGATTTTACTGACCAAAAATGTATATGACCATAGAGAAAATGGTTAAAACATGTGAGAGATGTGTTCGTAGAAAAACACATCCAGAAAGAGCTGCTCCACTGATGAACATTAAAACCTATCAACCTCTCGAACTGGTGTGCATTTACTTTTTGTCAATAGAGCCAGATCGCTCAAACACCAAAGACATTTTGGTAATAACTGATCATTTTACAAAATATGCAGTGGCCATACCAACCCCAAACCAGCGAGCGCAGACCGTAGCAAAGTGCCTCAGGGAAAACTTCATTATTCATTATGGTTTTCCTGAAAAGCTCCTTAGTGATCAGGGTGCTGATTTTGAATCTAAAACCATAAAAGAACTCTGTGAACTTATTGGCATGAAGAAAGTGCGTACAACCCCTTACCATCCCAGGGGAAATCCGGTTGAAAGATTCAACCGCACACTTCTTCAAATGCTTGGAACACTTGATAAGTCAGATAAACTCCGCTGGAAAGACTTTGTCAAACCTCTGGTACATGCTTATAATTGTACAAAGAGTGACGTGACTGGATTTTCCCCATACAAGTTAATGTTCGGGAGACAGCCCAGATTACCCATTGACTTGATTTTCAGATTGCCCACCAATGCTACGAAGCAGACTCATTCCCAGTATGTTGGCAATTTAAAATCTCGATTGGAAGAAAGTTACCGTATTGCTACTAGCAATGCAGAAAAGAATGCAAGTCACAATAAAGCCAGATTTGACCGGCGAGTGATTGAATCAACTTTGCAGACAGGAGACAGAGTTCTTGTGCAAAATGTGAAGCTGCGTGGAAAACATAAATTGGCAGACAAGTGGGAGGAGGATGTTTATGTTGTCCTCAAGAGAGCTGGAGAAATGCCAGTTTATACAGTTAAACCGGAAAGTAAAGATGGACCAGTGCGGACTCTGCACAGAGACCTGCTTCTGCCATGTGGATTCCTGTCAGCAGCTGCAGAGCCTGAAACAGTCAAACCTTGTCCAAACAGGAGACCCAGAACGAGACAATGTCCAGTCGTCGAGAGTGAAGAGGAAATCATCTCAGATCTGGATGATGTACCTGATTGGACATCGTTCCCTCGTTTTGTGTCAAAACCCGATGTATATGTCATAGTGCCTGAAACTCACAAGTCAAGTGAGCATCCCAGTGCAGTTCGACCATCAGCAGAAACAGGGAGATCTGTAGTTTCCCTCTCACCTGATGTTCCAGCTACTCATATTGTAGGAGATAGAAGTACTGGAGATATTCAAGATGCATCAAGTGTTCACCTACCTGAAAATGACAACCTACTGGAACATAACAGATTATCCGAAGCAAACGTTTTACCTGAACTAAATTCAGTTAAAGGATCCCCTCAGTGTTTGGATTTGCAGCAATCTGAGGAAACTCCTCCATATAATGGGATGAGCTCAGATGCAGCATATGATGATGAGTTTTATGGAGTAAATGAACCTGTTACTGCCCAACCTGAACCCTTAAAGTTTCAGACTGAGGGACTTCAAAACTCTGAAACATTTCTTCGTCGCTCTGAAAGAGTACACACAAAGCCAAACAGATTAGAGTATCCAAAACTGGGAAATCCTCTGATGGTGGTGAATTCTCTTTTCCAGGGTCTAAGTGAAGCATTGGCTAGCTCCCTGAATGGCTTGGAGAATGCATCCCATAATTCCATCAGGCATGCTTAAGCTGTGCGACTCAGTGTCGTATTGCAGATGCCCAGGGACGGGCATACCCTTCAGAGGGGAGGGTGTAACCCACATAAAGTGGGGATAGCCTTTTGGGAAATAGAGATTGGGTAGGCGGGGTAGTCTGCCTGGCCAATGGGAAGTTTGATTCCCATGAATGTTTAGACCAATCAGAGAGCGGAATGCCACAGAGGCTCCACCTTCTTTCCCGTGTTGGCAGCGTTGATTGTGAGCGGGAGATCCAACCCTGATCAGACAGCTGAGCCAGAAACCACTAAGATCAGTTGGAACTGTTGCACTTTCTGGCAGTTGATTGGCAGTTGTTTTCAGTTCAACTGAAGTGCCCTCCGTGTCTGGAATGAGAGTCCCTGTCTAGTTGTTTTGAACGTGCCGCACTGAGATCGATCAGGATTTTTTTTTTTTTTTTTTGTGTTGTTTTTTGTTTTTTTGCTTTTTCTTCTCTTCTCCTGGATTGTTCCTGAAGTGGATTCCCCTACTGACTTTGATGGCGAGCCTTCCCACCTGGACTTAGAAAGATCTGGATTTCCTCCCATGTTGAGTGAGACCTGAGCCAGGATTTAATTTGATTCATTTGTCATCTAAAAGAGATTAGAACGCAAACTACCAGGGTGTACCCAATAGATTTAAATTTGATATTTAGCACTTGGCCAAGTATTGTTGTTTTTATTTCATGTATTTTATTGTGTGTAATTTTATTTTCTTAATTGTATGTCTTGTCCACTTGTGAGTTTATGATTCATGTTACTAAAGCTAATTGTTTTTTAAATTCACTCAACTGTGTATGTGTGTCATTTAAACACCCATCGTGCTCCGACAGCCGAACCTATTGGCCCATCTACCTAAAATATATTGTACCCTTCTCAACTGTGTTACAGTAGCGTGACAGCACATTTATGAAACCTATGTGAACTTGTGGAAGCTCATTGTTAAACATGAACTAAGCACCAAATCAAAACATCCTGACGAAATGAATGTAATTGAACTATGCATACTGTAACAAATATTTCAAGGGTGTAAGCTATTATATTTATACTTTGTCAAAATGTGTCAAGTAAAATATTTAAGGACAATGTCAAATTAAAACTGCTGCAATTCAGCATCAGCCACAATGTTTTTGCTTAGATATCTATTTAAAGCTAAAACTTTCTGTATGATTTGTAAACATGTGTTAATAAAGTGCTTTTACAGGCTTCAATCTCTGTATTTTGCAATTATATTTTTTGTACATGGCCTGTTAGATCATGAATATAAGTATCAAAGAATAATTAGTCATTTATCAACACAATCCAGAACAGCCATTTCTTTGTATAGGATTTTCATTAGCCTTTGATGTTCACAGGGGCTTATTCACAAATACTTCTGGCCTTTGTAACTACATGCACACATGCAAACTTAAAACAAAACCACAGGTATTTGCAAAAATTCTGTGTGTTTACAATACAGAATTGCAAAATTTGTATTTTGTTTAATCTTGAAAGTTTGAATACATAATAAAACAATGGAAAATGTGCTTAGTAATACTCTGTTGTAAATCTCATTAATAAAGAGATGTTTTTGAAGTGTTTTAATTTATAACAGTTCCTTAGCAGTTTGTCTATACACCACTAGTGGCTCAGTTTTCAGTTACCGGGTGGCGCTGCGGTAGCATGAGACTAAACTTAAAAAAAAAATGATCAGGACTTTATTTTGCATGAAAAGAAACTCTTGTGAACAACAGGTCCTGAAAGTTAAAAGAAAGTGCATAGCCAGCCTGCTGAGCAGACTACACAACAGCATCCAAAAATCTGGACTGATTAATGTATTTACTTTCTATCATTTTGGTCTGAGCAGCATGCTTCTGAATAAAAAGCTAAGCACTGCTAAGATTACAGGAATTTTGAAGATTAAAATAAGTAGTGAATTTAATGACTAATCAGTAAAATGTGAGAGGATTTTAGAGAAGCCAGAATAACTGGGGGGGAAAAAGTAAGGCTGACAAACAGAAATAATTGGGGTCTGGAAGTGTGTCATCTCTAGGAAACAAGTTAACCTTAGAGTCAGTATTTGCTGAATATTCTGTAACTGTATCCAATTCCGTAACAAATTTTTGCAGATGAAATGCATTTTATCAGCATATTATTTGCTAATTTATCATGTCTCTCTTGTTTTGTTTTTTTTTTGTTTAGCTTTTTTGTGCTTGTCATTTGTACTATTAGAGGTCTGAAATTAACTTAACATTAAGGTTTTACTGAGATTTTAGTTCACTGCTAAATCCTTTCACAGATTGACCTCAAAATAAAATGATTCCCCTGAAATGTTTAAATCTTTAATTCATTAGCTATGTCTCTGATTTTCTTTTTCTTTCAATCAGGAATCAGATTATTAATTTATTTTTTATCATAAAACTTTGACCAAACATGACAAAGCAATTTAGATGCCATTTTTATGACTTTTATTTTGATGGAGTGAGAAAAGAATCCAGAATGTTCTTTTTTCCACAGATATTGCTTTTCTTCTTAACCCATGATCTGCAAAAGCAAATAAAATTATCAGTTGCAATGTTCAAACATCAATCATTACAATCTATGTAATTCTTGAGTTATCAAATACTAACGCTGTTCATCCAGCTGATGTAAGCAGAAGCACGGGTAAAGACGGTGGGTTTCCGGTAGGTGTTACAGCCAAGGGAAGACACAAAGCTGGTCACTCCGTGGACCACCCACTGGCCGTTGACCCTGCAATTCAGGGGTCCACCAGAGTCACCCTGCATAAGTAAAATTATATTTTAAAAATTAGTCATGAAAACTGGATGTCACTGACTTTATTTTGATTTCTTTTATTATTCCTGCACCCTTGGAAAAGTATTCATGCCTCTTGAACTTTCATGTTTTGTTTTATTATAACAGCAAAATTAAAGGAATGAGTAATAAGTTTAAAACATGGAATGATTGTTAAAAAAACAGCATGCCCACAGAGCTCAGTTCAAGTCATTAAAAAATGGAGAGAATGTGCAAAAACCATCTATTTGTTATTTTCTATCTCACAATCATGCACTGTTTTGTGTTGACCTGTGACATAGCATCAAAATGTCATACACTAAAGTTTGTGGGAGTAAGCTGACAAAAAAGTCAGTTAATTATTTCTGTATCACCATCTGTTGGTGTCAGTACTTTTATGTAACTCCACACATCATTATGGACCTTATGATTGTCCACTTTTTTTGAAAAGAGGGAGTTCAACAGGTGGCTCACCCGACAACCAGAGTTGCTGGCACCTCCAGCACAGACCATGGAGCTCTTCACAGTGCTGCCCCACCAGCCAGAGCTGGTGCAGGTGTTGTGATCAACAACAGGCATGTAGGCTTGCTTCAGCTGAGCAGACAGGTTACCATTAGCTGGGAAAAACAGCCAAACATATCATTACCTATCTGAACGTCCACCATGTTAATCATCTTGGTGTGAAATTGTGTTTGACTCACTCTGAGTGCGTCCCCATCCAGTGATGTAGCAGGGGTGGTTGTGGGCCAGAACCTGACCGGAGGGAGGAAGAATGCCCAGCTGGACGTAGTTGTTGAGGACAGCGTCAGTGGACAGACGCAGCAGAGCAATGTCGTAACTACAAGACGCAGGAAGCAAATACCAATTTTTTTAAGATTCTTGGAAGGTGAGTTGTGAATACAATTTAACTCTATAAAGAAACATATTTCTTTGTTCTTTTAAAATAATAAAACCACCTAACCAAAATGTTATTTTATTCAAAAATCAATTAAAACCGTATTGTTCAAGAAATAGGTATCACATATCTTTTAACAGAAGTTAAGCAACAAAAACTTCTTTTTTTCTCAACGGTTATGCTGGCAATTACTTAACTGATGCTCTTCCCTGGAAGTTATAGTAACAATTAAAGAAGAAAACAACATAAAATATATATTTTTTACATGGAAAGTATTATACATAACAAGTAAGCATCAGATTACACACATTCTTCTTGTTTTTAAAACGTAAGTGCAAGATTACTTAACATGTGGCATTTGACGTATAGGTCTGTCTTTTTTGCCCTATACACATTAAGAACTGGCAAAACTACATTCTTACTAACCCTCCAACAACATTGTTGGAGTTCCAGTTAGGGTGGATGTAGACCTGGCTCACGCTCAAGTACTGCTCTTTTCCCTCGTTGTTGCTGATGTCATGATCTCCAAGAACGACACGCCAAGTCATTGATCTTTTGCCCATGCAGAAGAGACAAGAAGTTTCTTTTAGTTATTACTTATACAAGATGATTAAAAAAAAATAAAATAACAAAATGATCTATAGTTATTTGAAGCTGAATCTCTAACAAGTAGGACAGTAGTATATTCAGGTCTATGAAAATTGCTTGTTCTCTTGTTTTTGATCTCTTCAGCTTTTCCATGATGCATAAGATTCCCACCTGTCCACACAGTGAGCAGCAGTCATGACCCATCCTTCCGAACAAGAGTTCCTCCACAGGTGTGGTAGAAGGAGCTTCCAGATTTGTACTGAAGGGAGATCTGAAAAACACCAAGAGACAGTTTTGCAAACACAAGTAAGCAAACCCCAAACCTTTTCTCCAATGTCTTAAAAACACTTTCTAAAAATAAGCTCTAACTCTTGACGGGAATGAAGAGATTCAAAGGAAAATGTCCAGGTTTGATTGAGAAAAAATAGTAATAATTCCTGGACTTGTTTTAGAGAAATATTTAAGGGACATATACTTTCATTACATTTCAGTTGGTGTACTTGAGTTATAAAGCAGATGTGATCAGTTTAAAATCTGATGCTGAAGATTTCACTTATTTAATGTCAGCAAGCAAGTTCCATGAAATTTGCATGTTTTCTTGTATTTTTAAATAACTTTAAAGCTACTTTTAGGCCTTTTTGTCTTGTCTTTATGGTGGTGATTGTTTTGTTAAGTTTGCAACACATGGATTATAAGGTCTGAAAGGATTTGAAGTATACCTGCCATGGCCATGAGTTAGGTCTGGCCACCCTTCCTCCCACAACTCTTGGTTCACCAACACTGTCCTCCAGGTACCTGGGCTGGGGTTCAGCCAGAACTGAGAAAAGCAGATATCCAAAAGAACTATTACATTTAAGTCTATATGGGGTTTCTCTGGAGAATCTTCAAAATAGACTAGGTGGTACTTACCCAGGGCTGCAAGAGAGGTCAACAGAAGAAACCTGAGCATATCTGCAGTCTCCTTAAACTTTCTGTCCTGACAACCTCTGTCCAATGCTCTTTTATACCCTCAGGTCAGCTAAATCTGGGAGTGTTGTGAATTACGTGTTCAATGCCACCCTACGTCCACCTGGGCAGATCCAACAGTTATCGTCAGAGTAACTCCAACAATGTGGCAGGAGGGTACAGACTGCATTTATTGAAAGAATAGTTGGTACAGGGTGTAACAGTTTTTCTTTCTAAGAAATACTGAAAGATTCCCTCTTCAATTTTGTGTACAAATTTATTTTACCTGCACATCATATGTTTAAGAGTCAGAGTAATGATTCATGATCATTTCTATTTCATGAAATGTTTTGCTACTTTCAAAAGTGAAAATGCTTCAGATTCATAGACTCATATTATGAGATATGTACTGCTAACTCAGTATCTACTCAAGAGAATTAGATTTCCTCCTCTTCCTTTTTGGAAGAGGAGGACGCAATCTTAATAAACATGGGATAAAGCTACTCGCTGCAAACCTTTTTTATTTTATCAACAAGGACAGCAACAGGATCATCACGTCAGAAGAACAGGCTCAAGGATGTCTGACCAGGATGGAACGCTCCCCGGATCAGGAGCACAATATTCCAAAACAAGCTGATAAATCGACTGGAGATGGAGCGACTGCTTCCCTCGCTCCTTCCCCCCTCCCTCTCTGCTCCTCCAAGCATTCACAGGATTCAATAGATACCAATGAAGAAATGTCTTCCGGACCAGAGTTTCTTAAATTTACAGATGGAATGAATCAACAGGTTCGCCTCGGCACGTCTCTCCTTAGCACTCACGTAGCAGACCTCACTACATTTAAGCAACCTGCCCCTGACTTCCCAGAGGATCCATCACTCTGCGTTTCTGAGGTCTGAGGCCGGGGACCAGATATTATCTTTACACCTGTCTCCATCCAGAATGTGTCTGGCCCCCGGGTACTGCAGAACAGGACATTACCTGTCCGGATCACTACAAGAAAATTTACAAAAACCAGAAATATGAAATACAGCGGTCCTAATTCAAACCTCAGAGTGATCCCCTGCCTAAAGGAACCTCAGACTGAAAATCTTTTGGCCTCCAAGCCACTTAAAGTAGCTCTTTTAAATATCAGATCACTCTGTGCTAAAGCTCTGTTAATTAATGATTTCATCACTGAGTATAATGTTGATGTTATGTTTCTGACAGAAACATGGTTGAATGACGATAATGACCAAATTGTACTCATTGAATCAGCGCCTCCTGACTACAATTTTTTAAGTGAGAATAGAAAACATAAAAAGGAGGAGGCGTGGCTTCTATATTTAAAATACCATAAACTGTAGTAAAATCTCTTTCGGTCATTTCACATCTTTTGAGTATCTTGGAATTCAGGTTAAAGGCTTCAAACGAACTTTGACACTAACTTTATACAAAACTCCAACATGTGGAAAATTTCTTTACTGACTTTAATGATCTTCTTTCTCTCATATGCATTGATTATGATTGTTTAATAATTGTTGGTGATTTTAACATTCATGTGGACAAACCCGAAAACAGAGGAGCAAAAAAGCTCTCTGATATTTTAGAAAATTTTGGTTTAACACAACATGTTAAACAAGCAACACACACTCAAGGACACACACTGGACTTGGTTATCAGTAAGGGTGTGAATATTTCCAATGTCTCTGTAATTGATGTCGCCCTGTCGGATCAATTCGCTGTTATCTTTGAAGTTTCTTTATTCTTTGACCCACTTGGACAAACAGCTACTATCACAAAACGTTCTTTCACAGAAAACACAGCAGAAACATTTAATCAAATCTACTCTTCCTCCTCACCCTTAAGCTGTAATGATGTAGATCAGTTGTTAGATGATTTTCAGTCTAAAGTTTCATATATCATTGATTCCATTGCTCCAATTAAAGTAAAGGTTTTGACTGGTAGAAAGAAATCTCCATGGAGAAATGCAGAAATAGTTCGGTCTGCAAGACAAGTCTGCCGCAGGGCAGAACGACAATGGCGTAAAACTCAACTTCACGTTCATCACGACATCTACAAAGAAAAACTACGTAACTATCACTTAACACTAAAACATGGAAGGGAGGCTTTCTTTGCAGATGTCATAAACAAAAACATCAATAATGCTCGAACTTTATTTGCAACAGTTGACAGGCTCACAAACCCTCCTGTGACGTTTCCACCTGAATTCCAATCTAATGCCTGTAATACGTTTTCTGATTTCTTTTCAGAGAAAATCCAAAAAATCAGAGGATTAATCTGCACATCAACTTCAAAGCCAGAACCATTGCTGTACCAAAACAAAACAAATACAGAAAAAATGACCCATTTTCAACTACTTAATTATAAAACCTAGAAGAAATTATAAGTCAATTAAGTTCAAGCTCCTGCTGTCTGGATGTCCTTCCCACACATTTCTTTAAGAAAGTCCTGCCTGTTATTGCTGCTGATCTGATCCAAATCGTAAACTCATCGCTTACATCAGGTGTTTTCCCCCAGGCTTTGAAAACAGCAGTCATCAAACCACTGTTAAAAAGAACAATCTGGACAAATTACTATTGCAGAATTACAGGCCAATCTCAAACCTCCCATTCATCAGCAAAGTTATTGAAAAAACTGTGTGTAAACAATTAAATAGTTTCCTCATGATGACCAACTGCTTTGACACTTTCCAGTCTGGTTTTCGTGCTCACCACAGCACGGAGACTGCCCTCGTAAAAGTATTCAATGATATCCATATAAATACGGACTGTGGGAGAACCACGGTGCTGGTTCTGTTGGATCTCAGTGCAGCTTTTGACACTGTCGACCATGACATATTACTGAATCGACTTGAAAGTTGGGTTGGACTCTCTGGTTCGGTGCTCGACTGGTTTGAATCCTACATAAAGAACAGGGATTTCTTTGTTTCAATTGGAAACTTCTCATCAAAGAGGTCAAAGGTCACATGTAGGGTACCCCAAGGTTCAATCCTAGGACCCCTCTTATTTAATATTTATATTCTCCCACTAGCTCAGGTCATAACAGGAAATAATATTAGCTACCACAACTATGCGGATGAGACACAGCTCTACATTACGATGTCACCAGGTGACTCTGAACCCATCCAATCACTGAATAAATGCTTAGAGCAGATAAATGTGTGGATGTGCCAAAACTTTCTCCAACTGAACAAAAATAAAACTGAAGTCATTATTTTTGGACCTAAAGAGGAACGATCTAGAGTCAATGCACAGCTTCAGTTATTACAACTAAAACCTAACGATCAGGCCCGAAACCTGGGAGTAGTGATGGACTCGGACTTGAACCTCCAGAGCCACATAAAGACAGTAACAAAATCGGCCTTCTATCACCTGAAGAACATCTCCAGGATTAGAGGACTAATGTCTCAGCCAGATCTAGAGAAACTCATCCATGCGTTTGTCTTTAGTCGCATTGATTATTGCAACAGCATCTTCACAGGCCTGTCCAACAAATCAATCAAACAGCTGCAACTGATCCAGAATGCTGCTGCTCGCGTTCTCACTAGAACCAGGAAAGAGCACATAACACCAGTTTTAAAGTCCCTCCACTGGCTCCCTGTAGCTCAAAGAATAGATTTTAAAATACTGTTGTTAGTTTACAAATCACTGAACGGTTTAGCACCACAATACATCAAAGATCTGCTGTTGTTGTATCAACCTTCCAGACCTCTCAGGTCTTCTGGTTCTGGTCTGCTCTGCATCCCCAGAACCAGAACCAAAAGAGGAGAAACAGCTTTCAGCATCTATGGACCAAAAATTTGGAACAAACTTCCAGAAAACTGTAAAACAGCGGAAACCCTGACTTCCTTCAAATCTCAAGTAAAAACGCACCTGTTTAGAGTTGCATTTGAAATGTAATATGTATGGATTTGATTTTGTGGATATGTATGTAATTTTTTTTTTTTTTTTTCTGTTGTGGGCAACGGGGCCGGCGAATACCCGTGGTTAAACGGACGGCGGAGTCCGGCGGTAACAGGCGCTTAAATTCCGTGTCAAAGGAAGGGGGAAGAAAGGGAAAAAAGAGGGAAAAAAAAAAACAAAAACAAAAAAAAACCTTGGTATTTTATTCTATGTTGCATGCCTTTGTGTTTTGTGTTTATGATGCCTTGTAGCTGAAATGTGCTATACAAATAAATTTTGATTGATTGATTGATTGATTGATTGATTGATTGATTCAATCATGCACCTGTGTTTTTTCTCACAGTGTTATCAAAGCACACCTGTTGCATATGTTAAGACCAATCTAGGAGATATGACTTCTAGTGACTTACAGCATGTTGAAATGTATTTGTAAACATATTTTGTAATCTTTCTTAAACAAAACCAAGAGTTATAGTGTTGTTTGTTGATGCCTGGTTATATTTTTTCCAGCCTGAGCCAGTTGTCCTATGTTAGCCTATCCCATTGATATCACAGTTCTACAGAGAAATGGTTGTGACATGATGGAAACACATGACTTTTTGATGTATGCTCAAAAATGAGTAAGCAGAGTAAACAAGTTGTATTACCTTGCAGGTCAGAAATATACACATGGACAAAATACCTCCTGTGTTAATGACCAAGAAAGTCCACTGTGGTCCTGAAATCAATTTAAATTGATTAAAATACTATTATCAAAAATATATTACAATTTTTTTTTGCATTTTTTTTATTGTAAAAATGAATATCAGTATATGAATGTTTTCACTGAAAAAAACTACAAAATAAGATTAATTTAAAAGCTTTAAAGATCACAGATAAAAGCTGTAATAAATGTAGAACATTTTATTTTTTTATGTATGATATCTGGAGTCTCAGGGGTTAAGGACATCCATTGGCATCTGCATCAGAAATGTAGATGGTTTTGAACTTTTCAAGCAGTCTTATATGCTTCTCTAGTTCAGTCAGTTGCTCCTCCATGTGGATCTTGCGGCTTTCTGCGATGGGGTGTACAGGATGAAAGGAAGGCCCTGATATTCATGATGCACTTCATGCCATTTCTTCTTC